CGTCGCGGCGCCCCACACACACACACACACACACACACACACACACGGCATAAATTTCAAGCCGCTTGCTCTGGGGTTTGAACCATGAAGTTAGCTATGTGGAATCTAACTGCCTTAACCTCCACAACACTTGCCTTTCCCCTCGAATTCCTGTTATTTTTAAGACAGAGAATTTAATATCTGATTTTTTCTTTTCATTTATTTATTTATTTTTTTGCAAAAGTTAATTGGCCTGGGGGATTTGATGACCTGGAAGGCTACCTCAGTTTTCCAGGGTGCTCAGACTATAGAAATTGAGTCTTACCATGTCTGCAGAAACACTAGAGGAGGAGAAAAACTTTAATTTTGCCGCCATGTGGGCTGGAGTACATCCCTATGTGGGACTGCTCACCTCTTGGGATGGGAGAGTGTGCTTTGCTTTACCTACACACTTGTTACTAAGACAACAACAGTCAGCAGCCATGGTGAGGGTTGTTTCCGTTCTCGTGCTTCATGTCCCTTAGCTGTCATTTTCTGGGATCATCCCACAAGAAACTCGGTGCAATTGGCTCCAGAGTCATAAAGAACTACATTCCTATCCCAGTTCTGTCTCTATTTTTGGGAACAAGAACTTAATTCTCTGAGTGTCTGCTCCGGAACCTAAAGATGAAGCTATTAAACTCCTGTGGTGATTGTGCAGAGTAAGGGAGGTCATGCCAGGGAATCAAAAACTTTGAAATCATTTCACGATAGTGATGGGAGAAGATGAGATGAAATTTTTACTGGAAACTTGGATATATTTATTTTTTAAAAAGTTTGCCTCTCCCAGGGTCCCATGATTAGTGACTGAAGAAGCTGAAAATCCAGCCGTCTGGGTGGAATTGCTTCTTGCCAGACTGAGCACTCCTTACAGGAAGGTACTCTGTCATACTGTCCATCCCCAGGCCTGGCCCTGGCTCCACTCCGTTGACCTCGCGCTTTGCTTCTTTCTCCCTCTCCCCTCTATTCCACATCCTCATTGTTTTCTGAGAATATGTACCTCATTTCCTTTTTTTTTTCCTTAAAACATTTTATTTATTTTTCTCACATTTTTAAATTTCATTTTCATTTATATGTTCAATCCGATTATTTAGCTTACAAAATGAATATTTCAACAGGTGAACACTTCTCCCTAGTCCAACTGATAAAACTATAAAATATCTTTAACAGGTAATACCACGTAGCTCATTTCTGATGCAAGGTTTTTTGGACTTGCTGTTCCCCTTGCCTGAAATACTCTTTCTCTGCATATCTGCAGAAGGTACGCCTTCCCCTTCCATAAAGTCTGGCTCCAATGCCTTCTTAACGTGCTGTTCCTTGTCTATTCATTAAAAGGATGACCCTTCTCCATCCTAATTTTTCTTTGTAGTGCTTATTACATCTCTCATCTTGTTTTTGGTCTTCCTTAACAGAACGTAAGTAGCATCCCTAGAACTAAACAAATAGCTGGAATCTGTATAGAATGGATATTCTTTATCTGAAATGCTTGGGACCAGAAGTATTTAGTAATTTTTTTTCAGACTTGGGAATAATTGCATATCCATAATGAAATATTCCAAGAATGGCACCAAGTCTAAATATGAAATTCATTTTACATTTCATATATACTTTAAATGCATAGCCTGAAGGGAATTGTGTACTATGTTTATGTATCGCAGTGTCTGACTGTGACGCAGTCTGTGAGGTCAGGTTTGGAATCTGCCCCTTGTGGCATCATGTTGATACTCAAAATGTTTCAGATTTGGGAGCATTTTGGATTTTAGATTTTGGGATTCGAGTTCTCTCTCCTGTAAATGAAACTGTGTCCTTCCGAAGAAGTAGAGAAAAGTGTGTAGAGGAATCCGTGCCTGAGTGCTTCATGCACTGATGGTATTTGTCCACTGTTGAGCACAGAAACTCACAAATGGTGATCTCAGCTGTGTACTTTGCCCTTCCTTCTTTGTCGGGTGACTCTGTCTCCTACGGAGGCAAGGACAGCTGTCTGTTCAGGAGCTTTGCAGCATGATCAACATAGGTAATGTAATATTTAATTTAAAGAAATCTCTGAGTAGAGTTCTTCATTAGAAATTAATTTGCTCAGGTTGTTGGGTTTTGTTTGCTTTTAACATGCTGAGGTATTTCCCCAGGGTAAAGTGTCTGAGCTCCTTTTAGCCTGCGCCTGAAGTTCTAGGGATTGCTGCTCTGTGAGGTTGAATGTTGGTTAATTATGTACAGAATGGAGAGTTCCTACAGTGGGGGCAAAACGTTGTGTTGTCCTTTAATGCTTTTAAAGGTCTCTGTTATGCTTATTGATGAGTTTCAACTGTTTCTGTTCTTGGAGCAGGAATTCTGTAAAAGCGTATGAAGTTATAAGTCACCTAATAATAAGAAACACTATGGAAGTGCTTTCTGTGACCGATGTTATAAATTCTGTGCTCTTTGGACCTTAGTGGTGTCAGACGTGAACTAAGAGTCAGGTGACTTGGCTAATTGTTCTATGTCATTTACTAATTGGGGAACATTGGGCTAGCCATTAGCTTTTTCTAAGACTTAATTTTTTCATCCAGAAGAATGAAGATTCCAGGCCATTGGTCAGGTCCAAGATCCTTTCCAGCTTTTAAAACTCTGTACAGGGAGAGAGTGGGGAGGTGGCAGATGGTGTGGTGGTCAAGGTGCTAGACTCCCACATGGCCAACCATAGCTTGAGTCCCAGACCTGGCGGCTTGAAAATCAAGCTGGCACAAGTGTGTATGTGCCCAAAATCTCGAGAGGAGAATGGAGAAGGGATTGTGGCATAGCCTTCCCTCCTTGGGAGTGATTTCTTACTTTTTCTTTCTCATTGTCTCTCTCTCGAAAGTGCACAAACCCTGTGGCAAAAACTTTAAATTTTTTTTTTTCTTTTTAACAATTCTACCCAGGAAGTCTAAAGACTTTGATCTTCACTTGGTTACAGCCACTTAGTAGTGCTGGGGCTTTATGTCACTCACCTTCCTTCCTTCCTGAGAAACTGCATTTCTCAGTCTTGAACATGAAGACCAAGTTTCCCAAGGGTATTGAGACTTTATTTTATTACTATTTTTTAAATCGCCAGAGAGTGTGTGTACTGGCCAGAGAGAGAATGAGAGTCAAAGAGGGAGAAAACACCCTCCATGGGGCATGGTCACACTGCCATCTCTTTTCCATTTCTCTATCCTGTCAGGATTCTGGGCACACACATACACACTTGATATATTTTTTCAAACTGCTGAGGTTGTGATTTGAACTTAGTCAGCCATGTGGAATCTGCTTTTCTTAACCCTGTAGAGCCAGCCTGGTAGATTTTTATTTGAATACTCAGAGGGGCAAGTATCTTTTAGCCACGGAGTCCTGTTACTATTGAAAGCAACTTCTGATTTGTGATTTTGTGGTGATGCGACACCAAAATGGTAGGATAAAAAGAGATGAAAAATTATCGCATATCTTACGGGATAGATTTTGAATTGCACTTTCAAAATATATTGGTTTTATGTCTCTCTTTTGAAAACATTTTTTTTTCCTTATTCCCACTTTATACTTTAAGTTCTTGACTGGAGAAGAGTTTATAGCTTTTGTGAAAATTTTAAAAGGAGTACTTGATATCCTCATTTTTTTCAGCTCTGTGATTCTCCATGAGTGTCCCCCCTGGAATTTCCGAGGGGAGGAGAGCTTTTCTGATCATATATCCATACCTCCTTCGATGGACATTAACTGGTATCACCTCGAGAATCCAAATGTCTACTGAATGACTATTTTCAGGACTAGCTAGCTATTTTCTGAAACTGCCAATTAATGAACTAGTCAAGACTGGCACACTTTTTAGAGATAATTCAATTAAAAATCCAGAGTAGGGCCAGGTGAAGGTGCAGTGGTAAGACAAATGGACTCAGGTGGAAAGGCTCTAGATTTGCTTCCTGGGACTTCCCTGTACACGCTGAGCATGCCCACAGTCTGAACTGGCTCAGACTGGGGTGGACAGTGCTGGAGGTCCCTTTCTATGGGTGTGTATGTGTGTCTCATGGAAGAAGTAAATAAATAAGCTTTAAACTATAGTAGAAACAAACCGAAAATGGAGCAACTAATTGACCAGCTTGGCTCTTAGAAGCCATTTAGTATTAATTCCATTATCGTTATCTCAATCTTTTTAATCCCTAAAGAGTACTCCTAATTTAGATAGAAGCTTTCAATTACCAGAGATTGAAGTTTCCTTCAGTGAGGGAAAAGGCCTCTGTGACCTGACAGGCCTTGGCCTAGGTGACTGGGCAAAGGTATAGAGATTTAGCGGACAAGGAAAGAGGTGTGGGCTATACTCAGCAGACAGGGAAGAGGTGCGTTTTTGTGGCTGGTGCTAAGTGGGGAGGCTTCTGGACAACTCGCCTCTTAGCAACAGATCCTGCCTTCTCACTAGCATTTAGGATGGCAATATCCATATCTGCTCTCCCTCATTCTAGTGATTTTAATTTCTTTTTAAAGTTCATCTCTTCTAAGGGAGAAATAGAAAAGGAAAGAGAGAAAAGGAGAAAAAAAGGGAGAGAGGGAAGAAGAGACAGGTATCCTTGGCAAGGGCTTCCCATGCTGTGATCCTCCCCACAGACTTAGTCATGAGTCCACCCACAAGTGCATTGGTGTGTTCGTGTTGACCAGGATCTGAACCCAGCACCATCTCATGTGGCTCCATTATCCATCAAGGGACCCTACTGACTGTGCCTCTGTGGTTGGGCCCCACAGAATTATTTTAATCATACAGCTGATATTGTCATTGAGGAAGCATAATATAGACTTAGGAGTTAGGTCGTTTTTGCAAGATAAATCAAAAAAAGACCTGGGGCCCACAGACATGGATTCTAGTCTTATTTTACTAGCTGGGAAACCTTGGGCTCATCTCTTCTCCCACTATGGTAAATGGGGACAGCAAAATGGACTTTGCTGAGTCATCACAAAGATGGAATGAGAATGCAAAAGAGAAAGCACTTGGTGAGCCACAATGGCCCCTCATTAGAAAGGAGATGTTAAATGAGAGTGTAGCCAGAAGGGAGACCTGAGGGGACCCTCCTAAGAAAATTGCGAGATCCTTTCCTTTCACTAGTGCTTCCTCTGACAGAGTGTGTTGTCTTCCCATTAAATGAAAACAGGAGGTGAGTGTGGGATGGGAAAAGTGAGTTGTTTGGGCCTCAGGCTTCAACCTCCACCTGGAGCCCACACCAGCTCCCTTTTGCTACCCAGCAGAGAAGGGAAAGGAGTTAATGATGGAATGTCAGGAAGGCACTTGGGGGCTTTTAGAAATACTCACCAGGTAATATCACATGCACATAATATCAAGCTACAGAACTGCCATGGTTGTGACATTAATCATTTTCTTGTTTTCTTGATTAGTAATAAAGACTTTATCCAAAGAGTCCATTTTTTTAAAGTGTTGGATATGCTTAAGTAAACGGGCATATTTCTTTTAAAACTTTCCTCACACTTGGCAGGCAGAAATTAATCTAAACTGTGTTCTGAATTTACCCAGTGCGTGCCTGAGTAGACGAGGAGCCTGGGGATATTTCTTGTGGGAGTGATGAGTTGTGAATCCCAATATAAGATGTGTGTAAAAAAAAATCAGTTTGTTTTAAGAGAGAAAAGAAGTTTGCATGTGTTCAGCATAACAGGTTATTTTCAAATGGAAGAAAAATACAATTGTGGGGATTTCAAATATTTGATGATCGTGTTTATTCAGTATATATATATATATACACACACACACACATACACACACACACACACACACACACACATATATA